GATGGTATATTAGCTTCACCCCCTCTTGGGTTGATACTGTTTTCTTTTCTTTTCTTTTCTTTTCTTTTCTTTTCTTTTCTTTTCTTTTCTTTTAAGACAGGGTCTCTCTATGCAGTTCGGGCTGGCCTTGTGCTCACTTTTGTAGCCTCCAGGCTGGTCTTGAATTCTCAGGGAATATCCTGGCTCAACCTCCTGAGCCCTGGGATTACAGGTGTGCTCTGGTGCTCTGCAATGGGGCTGAGATGCGCTTCTGGGGATCTGGGGCGAAAGTGTACATCCCATGGTGCCAGGATCGAAGTCAGTTCCTTGTGCTTGCCAGGTAGGTGCTTATGCCTCTGAGCTATCTCTTGGTCCCCTGGATTGATACTTCTTTGTAAATGCCCTAGTGTGTGTGTAAGGGGAAATGTTTTTCTTCCAGACACAGCTCAAGTCTTTAAAGACATTTCCAAAGTAGGTCTCAAGAATAAAAAAGCCTTGCTGAGACTGAAACAGGATTTGACCTCTTTTCCTTCTAAGCTCTGGCCAGCAAGAAGGTGAAAAACACTTGAACTGAGAGAAGTGGAAAGACAAGGTGTTGGAACTAACACTGAACAAAATACTGGGCTAGGGAGGATGAAAGATAGGCCTTCATAGAGAGGTGCAGGGAGAGAGCATCAGTAGGAAGCGAACAGTTAAGAGGCCTGGGCTAAGAGCCAGGAAAGCTGTTATCAATGCACCCTGCATGGGCTGCCTGCTGTCTAAATACAGTGTACCTCCTCTCTCAGTGACAGGATCAGTACTGCTCCTCTGGGCCCACCAGAAATCCTCAATCACTTCTGTGACTCTTCTTTTGACTATATCTAGCCCTCCTGACGCAGGAGATTAGGGTGTGGCAAAGTGGCTGGGCAAGTGGGTATGACCTGTTAACAGAGAAATCTAGGACACATGAGCAGAGAAACTGTTCCAAGGCCTGCACCTGGGATCAATCAAAGCAGGCCTTTGATAGGATGACCTAGACGGGATATCAGCATAGGGGATATAAAAGACAGTAGCCATTAACCTGGTAGCCTCTGTGAGCCTTTTCACTGGTCTACTCTGCACTTTCTAGAATATATGTCTTCACCTACCTTAAGCTGGCCCACATTTTCTACCTTTAATAAATGTAGAGCCTTGCTACCTTTTTGCTTGTTTTGACCAATTCTTTGTTCAAGAGAAGAATCTAGAAAGAATCTCAGAAGCCCCTAGCACCCCAGAACCCTGCTAACACCACCATATGTGTGTCTATCACTGAAGTAGAAAATAGCTTACTTACTTAGTTCATAAGGTAGCTAGCTAGAGGAAGGACCTGAGATAGAGTTATCAGCCATACTGGACCAAGAATGAATTTCCTCCGGCAACATGCAAAGCAGCCTTTTCCCTACTAAGCCCCTGAGATTTGAAAATGTTTAAATGCAAACTAACCAGTTTTTCTTTTTTCTTCTTCCTGTAAATCTTGGTTTCCTTGAAACTGTATGAGCTGAAGAACTGGGTTAGATACTGAGTTCCCACTGGTCATTTTAAATCCACCTGTGATACATGGCCACTAAACAAGTGAATGATTCTTGTGCTCTTGCTTATCTACAAGTAGCTCTGGGGACAAGTGGTCACCCACTTAGGGCCCTTCCTGAAAATTCAGGAGCTATTCTTATTATTTCCGACAAAAATCCTCCTAACTTCCTTTTGTATGTTACTCTATTCCTTGATGCTCAATTCATACAGTGACATCATTGACACTAAGACTACCCACTCTATTTCGGAAATTGTTCCAGTTGTGCTGCTTGTTGCCATCTCCTTGCTCCTATTGTTATTGGACACTTTGTTTCATAAGCCTAATGTTAGCTCTTTGAAAAATGGACCCATTTGCCTCAACTTGCTATTTCACCATGCACTGTGGCAAGGTCTTTTACAGTATGGAATGGGAGAGCATAAATATTGCAAATACCCACTTTATCACTTCGAGCATCCTCAGCTCATTGTCCCCTTTCTAGTAGAAAGGAAAGTTCCTTTGACAGCATCTGTATATTCTATTTATTCATGTGGACTGAGGACAGATCTGGAAGCTGGTAATGCCCTAGGCTTCAAGGAAGCCACTTGTCTCTAAAGGAGAAAAACCTACCAAATTTACAAGGTGCACTTTGGAGCACCAGTTACATTATCCCAGTTCACTTGAATTACATCCACTAGCACTCACCACTTGTAGATTTGAATCGGTCCAAGGCTGGCCATATGTGATCTGATGTCAGGTCCCTTCCCACCCTATACTCTTTAAGATTAGGATTTTTATATGGTCAGTGAGATCCTGCTTAGCCTGGCCTCCAGCTTCATTCTGAAGCACTCTCCTGCAATCTACACTTCAGTCACAGTGGCCTCTTTGCAGTTTCTTAGGCTTGCAATAGTCTCTCCTGACAAAGGCTTTTACACATGATATTTATTCCCCACATTTCCCTTCTCCACTCAGTTTCACATTCTTCTGCTCTCCATGTGCATGTGACTTCTTCAAGTACTTTTTCTCTGACAAGATCAATGACTGCCCATTCTCCATGCTTCCCAGCACCGAAATAAACATATTAGGGGATTATTAGGCTTACTAGGGGATAAATCTTCCTATTTAGACTCTGCTACAGCATTACCTTCATAGCTTTTCTTCCCTGGCTGTTGTCTTATTTTTTAATACCTTGAGTGTTAGCCTCCATCATAGTATCACAGCTCCCCGCTTCAGGGTTTTCCCCATTTGTAGCAGATGCTTTAGGACAGCTGTTTTATCTGTCTTCTTAGCCGTTACCACAGGGCCTTGTCCACAAATATTTGGAGTCACTTCATATGTTTCTTCCTTGGTATTTATTTGCTTGAAACACTGTGTGTGTGTGTGTGTGTGTGTGTGTGTGTGTGTGTATGTGTGTGTATGTGCTGGAGATAAAACCCAGGGCCTTGAGCAAGTTAGGTAAGTGCTTTACATTTGAGCTACAATCCCAGCTCAAACCTTCTCCACTTGATATAAAGGAGGTAGTGATAAATCATAACAATGTACATGCTCTATATTTTGTTTTTTCATTTGAAAGTAATGCTTTACAAGGTTGTTGGGAAGATTCACAGAATGGATGTTCTGTCTCATTACTGGGCAGGTTAAATCTTTGATTTTTCTAAAGTAATTCCTTTGGAAATTTTGTCTTAGTTTTTTTTTTCAATCTCTTGTGTATAGTTATCTCTTCATCCCTGCCCTGTTTTTAACTCTTTTTATAATATAACTCAATAGCTCAATCAAAATCAGGGGACAACACATTAGGAAGTATAAAAACCATTAATTTCTTTTTTGTTAGGAGAGAGCTTTCACATAAGATTATCAGTATAGCTGCAGAGGACTTTTAATACTTTGAAAGTAAAGGAGGAAAAACAAAATGGTTAAATTTTCACATAAAAGCAAATATTTTAATTTTTAAAAAAATTTGTAGAATAACTGACCCACACTACATATTATGTTTTTGTTCTCTTCCCTTCTTCCATTCAAATTTAGATTCCTAACTAAACATTTCAGCATGTAGGGCAAGCAACTTCAATGAATCATACTGAAGCTTCTACCATAATAAGGTATTTTTATTATTTTACTTTTTATTCATTTTAATGAGAAAAAAGTAAAATAGCAATGAAATGGTTTCAAAATAAGTTAGTAGGACAGTTACAATAATTGATACATTACATATTTTTTCCTAGTAGCTATTCAGAAGGCAAGATGCAGACATATATCTTGTCTAAAACAATATTAGTTCAAACCTTTCTTCTCAATAAATGAACTAAGAGAAAACAGCTGTATATCTTATCATATCATATATATATAAGACAAAATGGTCCTTCAGTTATATCCCCCTTTTTTTTTGGTTTTGTTTTGTCAGAGATGGGTGTTCCACTGCAGTTAGAGATAGTGTATTTGGAGAAGTCTTTAAAGGACCTCTTCATGCTAGTAAATTATTCTTTGACTTTGTTTTTTGGTGGTACCAGGGATCGAACTCAGGACCTTGCACTTGCCAGGCAAGCACTTATTCCACTGAGTTATCTCCCCAGCCCTAATAAATTATTCTTAACTGGATATTTAGTTTGTTTCTTTACCTGTTTGTGTCGTCAAAGTTTAAATATTACATTAAAACTACTATGCTCTTTGAAAATCATAGCTCTTTATAATATGAATATGTAACAAAAATAGAAAACATGAAAAATGTTTGCACACGAGGTAAGATGTCACAGGGATTAAAATATGATGAAAATGTTACTAAAATGTCTCCAGCCTTCTTCATCGGACCAGGTGCACCCCTTTTATTTCTGTCACACAACTATCATTATAGCCTGTGGGCCCACGTATCAGGGTGTTTGGAGACTGGTCTTGGGTTTTAGGAAGGAAAGACAGCTTTTGTTGTTACCCATGGTTTGAAATTCCCATACCTCACAAGAGGCAAGTGTCATCAAATGACCCTTTTTGACGTCCAGGGGCAGCAGAAGTCGGAGCACGCCTCGGCAGCATTTCCCCACCGGCACGATTGGGAACTGGCCTCTGCTAAGCTGTGGGATGTGACCTTACTCTGCTGCCGGCTGATGACAGGTGATCGGCGACTCTCGAGGTCGGCCCCTTCAGCCTCACTCTTCACTGCCCTTTGTTTTCTCCATCTTTCTCCTTTCACTGTAGCGGTCAGGGACTAGTGGGGTAGCGTCAGTTTTCTTCCTCCAGCGAGACTTGGCAGGACAAGGTTTAAAAGAAAAAGACCTGAAGGAAGACTAAAAACTGGTAACAGTAGCAGGCAAGGGCAGGGCACAAGGTACACTGTCCACTGGCCCCTGAGACCGCAGGCCGAGAACCCTCAGGCCGGACCCCGAGATCCCCGCCCCCAACCCGCTCCGCCGGGTCACGTGACAGGGAGCGGCGCGCGCCGGTTGCGTCGCTGATTGGTTGGTGGGGAGAGCGCGGGGTTTTATGGGAAGGAATTGGCTGGGCCCACGCTCCGTCGGTGGCCGCTGCTGCCTGCATCTGAGGCGGGCTGAACCGGCGGCCGAGCTGGGCAGGGGTGGACGCCGAGGCCGGGCTGCGCCTGCTTCGCACAGGTAGCGTGCTTAAGATGGAGGCAGTTGGGCGGGCTCATCAGAGAGGAGGCGCGCTGGGCTTTCCGCCCGGGACATACAAATACGCCCTGGGTTCCCTGTTGCCTCCCGGGGTTGTCCTCGCCGGGTGCCCAGTGGCCTAAGAGCTAGGCGGCGCCGGCCGGTGCGCCACCCTTTGATGTAGGCGCTCCCCTGCGGGCGCAGCCTCGTCCTCGGGTTTTCCCGGCACAGTGCCCGGGGGGCGGGGGGTTCTGGAGGGTTGGAGACCCCGGTCCGCCCCGCCGGGGCTTGTGGTTTCCCGGCACTGCCCTCCGAGACTCCCGGTGGCGCCCGGCCCACCCGTGTTGCGGGCAGGCAGAGGGTCCCTAACTAGCGCATCCCACGCTGACCTCCCCGCGCCGAGCGGCCCGGCGCGTCTCCTGTGTGTGCGCGTTTGCGGAGGCTCCACGAGTCGGAAAGCCAGGAAGGGACTGAAACTGTCAGTGTCATGCTGCTCGGCTCGCGTGTGGGCGTGGATTGTGCGCGCCGGGAGAAACTCTCGAGCTGGAGACGGCCGACGCGAGGGGCGGAGGGGGCGGGCGGAGATGGTAGGTGCAATGGGCGCGGCGGGAGGAGAGGCGCAGACCTGAGCCCTCAATGGGGTTCATTGTTTAAGGCTCTGATGGCTACACAGCGTTGGGAATGGTGAGCTCCGTTTTGCTGGTGGTGTTCTCAGAGTACCAAGCAAGATCTGTGACTCACAGTTTTCCATGTTCTGCTTCTTAGCTTCTAGTTTGTGGTACTTCGAGTCCACTATTTTCTCCTTACTCTGTGGCCTGTATATTTCAGCCTTGAAAACCTGATTCTATTCCACAACAGTGAGGTGGATGTGAGAGAGCTTAGTTTCAGACATGTTCAAGCTCTCAGGGAATGCTGCTTGTTCAACAACCTTGTCCTCCAACAGTTCCCATAGTGCCTTTTTCGGAGGGCCAAATTGAATCTAAATAGGTGTTCTTAAACAGGAGTGGTGTCTTTAAACCTAGAGTTTTAAGGTTTTCTGTCATCTGGTGAGATCTGTCCAGTAGTAATGTTAATAAATGTATACAATGTGCTATTAACATGAAAATATAAGAAAAAGAGGATACATGGCTGTCAAAAGGTATAATTTCATGTAGAAATTCTAATGCATCTTATCAATTAGTCACTTTTTCGATATTGTTTCAGAGTACAACTTTACTGATCATGGAAGGAAGCACTTTTTCACAATATATTAAAATTGCTTACTTTTCATCTATTTTTGCAGTAAATGTGATGTTTTGGGATATTTCAAAATTGCCTTTTCAGTTAGGTATTTAATAGAATTTTAGAACAAATCACTTTTAATCTTGTGTAGTGCAGTGTTATGGCGGGTAAGAATTCTACCACCAAACCATCAGTCAGTACAATGCAATGCAAGTGCTGTTGAGGGTGACTAAATAGTTTTTCTGGAACTTGATGTGCATAAAACTCAACTTTCCCAGCTGTTTTCCTTAGAGGCCTACGTGGCTATTTGAGTGAAGAGTATGTAAAGTATTTTGCTTTATCTTTCTCACTCTAGAATAACTGATAGCAGTATACTTTTATTAAAAATATAAATTAGTTTTTAAAATTTTTAAATTATGAAGTAGGTGTTTACAAGTTAGAAAGAAAGGTTTCATTTAAGTACCACATGTGTTTTCTGTAATAGAAATAATAATGGCTACAATTTATTAAATGCTACGTGTTGGATACTGTGCCAAGTGATAATTTCAATTAATCCATAGAACAGTTTTATGAAGTGAGTTTATTTTCATCATTTTACAGATGAGGCTTAGAGTTTAATTTGGCCAAGATCATATACTAGCTAATTTGTGGTTGAGTCGTATTTTTGAATCCAGACGTATTTTACTCTATTGTTCTAATGTGATTTAACATCAGCCAAAAATTAAAAAAATAAAATCCCCCCAAAATTTTTTTAGGATTTTAGATTCGGACTCCCAGACCTGAGTGTGATAGCAGTTAGAAAACATTCAAACAAAATGGTGGACATTATTGTTCATTGAAAAACACATTTATATGTAGCAAGCTGTTAAGATCATGTCAGATCCCATTGTGATACCAGAGTTTAAAGAGACTTGTTCATGTTCATGGCAGATTCTTGTGGACAAGCCACTTGAGGTTGAGCTATTTATCTACTCAAGGGCAAGCAGAGTTATTTATGCTTCAAAAGGAAGTGCCAAGGTTTCTATATATTTTCTAAGTATTTGAAAGAAAGTAGATATAGACTAGAAAATAGTAATGACCACAGAATTAAAAACAACGTGTACTTTAGTAATTATTATGTATTAGGCACTATAATAGTTCAGAAAATACTGTTATTTAAGCCTTTCAACATTTAAAAGGATTCCTCTTTTGCAAATGAAGTTGAGTAAAACAGAAACTAATTAACTTGTTTGTCCATAGTTTCTTAGTAAGTGATGGGCCACTGAAATTGGAATAAAGATGTTTGAATGGAAAGGAGCGACCAGTCGTTGAAAATAGAAATGTGAAATAAAATATTTTCATGTCTGTTGAAAAGTACTACCATGTGTGTATTATAGTAAATTTACTTCTTTAACAAATATCAGAATTTGATGGAAAAATTGTTGAAATAATTAAGGTTGACAGTTTGATTATGAGTATGAAAGCATGGATGTGGCTTTTTGGTTAGTATCATCTTAATGTTTTAAAGAATAAACTTGAAAATATAGTTCAGGAATCTTGAGGACTAAGTCACAATTTCATTAACATCAAAACAATTTTCCAAGGAAATACTAAGAATTAATTGTGATATTATGCATTACACTTACTTTTAAAAGTGATGTGCCGTAAAAGAAGTCCTGTATGTTCATAGTTCTGTTTCTAGCCAGAGCCATATGACTTTGCTGAATCATGTAGCTTCTCTCTAATGTAGATTTAAATATTCAGATTTACTCAGATAAAAGAATTGGGTTACATGCTACATTCATTGTACTGTCTTGTAACTCCCTCCCACTTCTTCTGTTAATAACTATTTGAGAGTATTAGAGAATCTTTCATATGTTTTATATATAAATATTGCATACTGGTCTGTATAAAGCAGACCAGTATGCCTCCTTTCTGAGACTAATGCCTCCTAAAGATGAAGTGCTGATTGAATGTTTGATTGTTATTGTTGTTGCCTATTGTTGTTCATTTCAGATACAAATTCATGGGCTGGGGATGTACCTCAGTGGTAGATAGAGTATCAAGCCCAGAACTGAACTGGGTTCAGTTCTTAGCACCACTCAAAGGAAATAACTTTAATCTTAGGGTGTGTTAGTTTTCTGTTAGTGATAAAATAATGAGGAAAGTGAATTTAAGGAAAGATAACTTGAATCATTTGTAGGAAAATGCAGCTTAAGACCATAATGTTAAGTGAAATAAATTAAACAATAAACTTAAATATCTGACTTAAATATCTGATAGTTTGTCTTACATGAGAAACTCAAGTTATAAATAAAGAGGAAAATAAAAGATAGATAAGAGGAAGTAAAGAGGTAGTTTTTTCTCACATGAGAAGAGGATCAGAGCACCAGCAGACTAAGCACCTACTTAGGCAAGCCAGCGACACACAGGTCCTGTCCCCGGGCGCCCTGAACTGGCCACCAAGACTTGGCATGGTGGCACACTCCTATAATCCCAGTGCTGGGGAGGCTAATGCAGGAGGCTCACTAGGAGTCCAAGCTTTGTAGTAAGACCCTGTACCAAGTACATGAAGAAGAAAGAAGAGGAAGAGGAAGAGGAAGAGGATCAGGAAATGGAGTGAAGTGGGAAGAGGAATGAAATGGGAGTTAAGATGTATTTATATGTGTTATTATCAACTATGCTCAAAGAATGTAAATGTTGTATGCTACAAACATGTACTAATAGAAAAAAAGGAAGAATTATTTAGGCTTCTGATTTTAGTTCATGGTTGACCAGTTCCATTGCTTTGGGCCTAAGGTGAGAAGGAACGAGGCAGAAGAGCATGGTGGAGCAAAGCGGGAGATTGTAGAAGTTCTGAAGCAGACAGTAAGGGAAAGAACCAGAGAGGACACAGTCAGGGATAAGATAATAGTTCTTCAGACCATGTCCCCCTGACCCACTTTCTTCAACTAGACCTACATCTTAAGTTTTCATTATCTTCCGGTAATAACATCAGATGATCTCATCAATGAAGTAATCTGTTGGTGAAGTTAAAGCCTTCATGATTTGGTTATCTTCTGAAGGTTCCACCTCTGAGTGTATGAGACTTTGGAAGGCATTTTAGATCCAAATCACAACACAGGCTATGACGGCTATGAACTTGATTAGAGGGCTATAATTAAAGACCAAAATATGTAGATCAGCTATGATAGTGGAATGATGTATAGTTTGAGAATTTCAAGTAGTTCATTTGAATCCTTCCCCTATTAGTATATTAGTTTTATATACAGTGTAGTTTATTAGTTTTTAATATATTAGTTTTAAAGTGTACTTTTACCATTTCAACTAAATAAAAATTTATGTAATTACTGAGTGAAAATGGATTTTGAAAGTATAATTGCTGAATATTATAAATAATTTGAATCATGGAAAAAAAAAGAAGTGGATATAAAAAAGGAAGTGGATATATAGCTATCTGAAGTGAAAGTCAACTAGCTTGAGGAACTTAGACAAAATGTCATAAAGAAATGTTTATTTGGAATGTTGACTAATATTTGCTAATAGGGCCAGAACTCCAAAGAAAGAGCAGTTTAAGGCCATGTTTCTTGTTATGTGCTACTGGACAGGTCACTAAACTTCTTGACTTAGTTTTTTTTTTTTTTTTTTTAAATCTGTAAGGTAGTAATACTAAAAGCTATCTTGTGAGAAAGTGTTGCTGTTATTCTAATTTATAGAAAAAAATTAAGGCCCAGTATTATTAAATGATTGCTCAAGGTCACAGGCAGCCTTGTAACCCTTATATTCTTATTCAGAATCTAATTGGTTTTCTCTGATTACTTGTAAAGTGTTGCTATTCTAAATACTGTAAAACACTTAATTTTAGGTAATTAGTTTAGTTAGGAATCAGCTGAATAATAGAAATGGTTTTATTTAGGTATGTAGTCTGAAAATATAGCAATACTTTCGTTAAAAGAATGCAGGAGACCTTTAAGAAACAAAATCACTTAAGTTTTGGCTAGATTTCTAAAATACCTTGTTTTTTAAAGACTTTCTAGCAGTATTTCTACTTTTAAATATGTTCTCCCTTTGAAGAAAGGTTTTGGCAAAGGTGAAGTTGATCCCAATGATTATCTGAATTCAAAGTTATGTATATGGAGGTCAAAGAAATTAACATATTACAGTATTTTTAGATAGTAATGCAGCATCTAAGATTTATAGTGAGTATGCTGTGTGTTTAACTTAAAATTTAAAAAAATATTTGCTTTATTTCTAGTGTGGCTTCCTTTGGACAACTGATGATATTTATCATTGTGCCACGTTTCTACAAATAAAAGATGGGTGGATTATTTTCTCGATGGAGAGTAAGTTACTTTACTGCTAGTTCATAAAGTTTTAATGGCTATTTGTAAAAGTCTTCTTTGCGGTGTAACCTTCAGTTGTAGCTTGATGTTATCCATTTAATTTCTTTTAATTGTGTTTCATTTTTCTGTTCTGAATTTTTTTATTTTGGACTTTATCTTAGCAGTTCTGTAAGTGCTTAATGTCACTTTGACTTCGGAATTATTTTTGTTCTATATACTTATATGTAAAAGTAATTATCTTGTTTTCATCTCATAACTACCTAAATTTTGAACTTACTTTTAAAAGGTGGTTGAAATTAAGTATTCTATATCATTCTTATATTTTTTACATACTATGTTTTTACTTAATGCTTGCCACATATATTTAATAAAATCACACTAAATATGCTTTTAGGAATTATATATTAAACAAAATTAAAAATGTTATTTGATTTTATTGAATAAGCCTTAGGAAATGAATCTCAAATTTAGAGCTAATAAATATAAATTATCCTCTGTAATATTGAAGGACATAATATAGTCTAGGATAGATTGCTTATTTTTTGACTTATTAGCAATACTTTCTGTGTAATTTAGTTTTTGAATATTGGTAGACAGTCCATGTTTTGACATCTTCCCTTTTGTTTTTCTTTTCAAATTGACAGATAAAATCATACCTTATATATTTGTTGCATACAATATGGTGCTTTGAAGTGTATACGCATTGTGGAATGATTAGCTAAAATATACTTTACCTCATATGGTTATTATTTTTGTGGTGAGAATGCTTAATGTCTACTCACTATTTTTCAAGAATACAACAGCTCATTATTGACTATAGTCTTTATGTTGTGTACTAGTCTCTATTCCTTCATCATTTTGTAGTCTTTGATCTCTAATTCAACATCCCATCAGTGTCCTCCCTCAGGTTCCCTAGATTCTATTTCCTATTTCTATAAAATCAACTCATTTCTTTCACCTATAAATGAGATGCCCTTCTTTAAAATCTATGGCAGTTTTGTCTGAGGATCATATTTATCTCTTTCCTGTCCTATTAAGTTGAACCATATGAAATTACCAATATTCTGCTTTGACTTATAAAATGGTAATTTCATATGGCTCAACTTAATTTTTAACAGTTTTTTTAGAAAATCATGAGTGGATATTAGTTATTCTTTTGGATTATTGAATTGGTAAATATTTTCTTGAGTATTATTTGGCCATTTGATTTATATGCTAGATGGTATAAAGTCTTTGGTAAATAAACTGCCATAATGAAGTATTATATATACTTTAGGAATTCACAGTGAGAGTAACTCATTGATTTTGCCTTCCTTAGTCCCAAGTGAACTTTGCACAATACTGTTTCAGGCCATCTTAGTTTGTAGATATTTAAGTATGTGAATTATTTGTTTGTTGTGCTGGGAATGGAACCCAATGCCTCATGAAGGCCAGGCACATGTACTGCCACTGAGCCACATCCCCAAACCAACTAGTAATTGAACTCTCTTGAGTAAATTTTTGTTGGAGGAAAGTTTGTTTCTCTATATAATGGTATGTTCTGTTGAAGTTAGAAATAGCAAAAGTTGAGTTACCAGAGTAGAAATTTCTTCTTGGATTAAAAAGAAATTAAGTAGAAAAAGGCTTGGGGCTGGGGAGATAGCTCAGTAGAGCAAGTGCTTGCCTGCCAAGCACAAGGTCTCGAGTTCAATCCCCAGTACCACAAAACAAAGTTATGTAGTTTTATTTATATTTTTTCATTTAAATACATCTTAATTATGAATAAATGTGAATATATATAGTTTGACAATATTTGACAAAAAGTAATTCAGAAATAGGAATTTTTTTTGGTTTATATAACCTAAGTGTTCTTAAGTTTGCAATAACAGGGTTTAATGCTGTTTCTAATTTTTATTTCTGTAACAGACAAAGCCTTCAACTGTAGAAGTTCTAGAAAGTATAGACAAGGTATGTTCTTCAGCTTGGAGGTGTTTTAATTCATTTTAGCTATTAAGTAAATATTATTTTATATCCTAATACTATTTTGGAGCCCAGATCTCCTGAGGGAATTTAGAGATGATACAGAATAAGCCTATGAATTGTGTTACATGATATCAAGAAAAAATATCTTAAGTCTATCAATAATTTAATAAGTCCTATATCAAGTGATAGGAACCTGTTAGAATGAATTTTTTTTTTTTTTTTTGTGGAACCGGGGATTGAACTCAGCCCTTGTGCTTGCCAGGAAAGTGCTTATTCCACTGAGCCATCTCCCCAGCCCCATGAAATTGTATCTATAGCCTGGTGTAAATCAATATTGTGAGATTGGTTAAAGCTTACAAAATATTAATAGCTTTGTATTTTTTCATTATGAAAATGATCATTCCCTCGGAGTACTAGGAGTAGTAAGTAGATGAAAGAATGTAGTGTTTGCTAATGTTTTGTTATTAATTTTTTTGTTGCTAGATTTTTAAAGATTTCATATATGAGAATCCTTGCTTGTTTGACTCAACCAGTATATATTGATGCCAGTTTTATTCCTCTAGTCTTTGCCAGTTTGATAGATTAAAAATAGTATTCAATTTTTCTCTTTAAAAAGTGATTTGTTACAATATTATAAATTTTGTAATGTCATTTTTAGTTTTTCATAGTTTTATTTTAAAATATTAGATTTAAAGTATATTTTAAAATAAATTTATTTCATTGAATTTAAACAATATTTTCTATATTGCCTTTTTATCATGTTAAAATTTTTTAACATTTTAATGTTTTCAATGAACTTTGAAATTTAGTAATATGGAATAATTTTTTCTTAACAGGAAATTCAAGCATTGGAAGAATTTAGGGAAAAAAATCAGCGATTACAAAAATTATGGGTTGGAAGATTAATTCTTTATTCCTCAGTTCTCTACCTGTTCACATGCTTAATTGTATACTTGTGGTATCTTCCTGATGAATTTACTGCAAGGCTTGCCATGACACTCCCATTTTTTGCCTTTCCACTGATGTAAGTGCATTGTTCTTTTTGTTTATCTTTCCTTTTCCTGATCAGATAGTTTTAATGTATTTAGTCTCATTTTAGTATAAAGTACTAATATCTCTGAATAAATTTGGATTACTTTTGCAGTTTGAAATAGAAAAATGATTCTAAAGCTTTATTTATAATCCAACATACCTGAGAGATATTAATTAGGCTTATTAATATTAATGCTTATATTTGACTATATTCTGTGATTCTCTGATAGCCATGATTCTCTAGAGGCTTTGGGCAAGGAACTGGGGAATAGTGATGCCTTTGAAAGGGTTTATAAAATGACAGTCTCACAAGTGACTGAATGTATTCTATTCATCTCAACTTTTTTTTTTAGTCATTGCTGTGGGGCTGTTGAACTTTAGGTATTTTATAGTCTAGCACTTTATAGGAGGTATGGCTATCACTGAGAATTTTGAGAGAGAACTGAATAAAAAGTTTGCTAATTCATCATATACTTATGAGGACCAATTGTGGAGACATTGGATTATAATGGTACACAAAAATACAGATCTCTGACTATAAATCTTAGAATGCATATTTTGTCATAAGTGATGAATGCTATGAAAGAGAAGTTAAATTCTATAGGAGCAGTTAGCAGGGGACTTAACCTAATGTGACATGGGGATAGAGGCCAAGGAAGGTCCTTGGTTTTAGTTTCTATTGCTGCCACAAATTGAGCAGCTTAGAGTAATACCCTTTTATTAGTGTTCTGTAGGTCAGAAATGGAGGTGGCTTGAGTGGGTCTCTGCTGAGACTCTCACAAGCCTGTCAAGGTATCAGCTGATATGTGGTCTTACCTAGAATCTCTAGGGACAGAATCTGCTTCCAGGTCCATTCAGATTGTTGGCCTCCTTATACTACATCTTTTCTACTGTTTTGTCCTTAGCTAGTAAAAAGCTTTGCTATTAAGAGCACAAGTGATTATATTTGAGCCACCAGGATAATCTAGGACAATCTCCCTATCTTAAAATCAACTAAAAATAACCTTAATTACTGTGTGAATATATAACTCAAGGATGGAAATATTTGGGATGAGGGGAAGGTATTGTTAGAATTTTGCATACTTCAGACCCCTAGAGGAACTGATGTTTGCGGGTTAGGATAAGTATAAAGTTCTAGGGTCTGAAGCATAGGTATGAGTTCTTGGATGGTGTGACTTGGTGGATAGAGTGTCTTAGGCCAGAGAGACAATGTACTTAACAGCTCTGAGGTAGGCAGTCATGGCACACCTTTTATAGCTTTCAATGATGAAAACACCTTGCCTTGGCACGTGCGCTGTATGTTTGGTACCACTGGCTAAAGCACGGTAGGTTTAAAGACTTGAAAGAAAAAACAAAATCTGGATTCTAGAGAAAAGGCAGGTAGCTAGCCAAATGATATTTCATGTGGGCCCTGTAATTTGTGTAGTTCATGAGGACATTAGGCCTTAAGATTGTGGGAAAGATACTGTAGCCACTGAGGGTATTGCATTGAGAATAAATTAGAGAACAGTGGGAAATTAAAAGGTTATTATTATTATTATTTTTTGGATACCAGAAATCAAAGTCTTGTGCCACTGAGCTATATATAGCTCTGGCCGTAAAAGGTTATTGTAGGGTTTTTTTTTTTTTTGTGTGGTACCAGGGATTGAACTCAGGACCCTGTGCTTGCCAGGCAGGCACTTATTCTACTGAGCCATCTCCCCGGCCTGTAGGTTGTTATAGTTGATGAGAAAGAAGGTGATTTGTATTTAAGTGGTGAGATTAAAGGAGATGGATTGAATGAAATAGATGGAATGAAGAGATTTAGAAGATAGAATTAAGGCAATATGGAGATTTTTAGTGGTTGATTGGATATGGTATGAGAGGAAAGAATCATATATCAAATATAAAACTCAAATTTATGGCTTGAGAAATTTGGTTGGTGGTAACGTTCTTCATGTACTTAGATATATAGGTTTTTTTATTTTTTTATTTTTATTTTTTTTTCCAGAACCGAGGATTGAACTCAGGCTCTTGCGCTTGCAAGGCGAGCACTTGTTCTATTGAGCTATCTCCCTGGCCTCCTAAAAAGGTTTTTTTTTTTTTTTTGATTCGTGTACTTAGAGAACAATGTGAAAAGGCACAGATTTGGTGACCCTACTGGGATTATTTTCCAGTTATCTGACATATACCTGGTTGGTTAACTATGAGTATGAAGCTTAGGAGAGAAATTTGGATGGATATGTAAATTTGATATTAGATAACTTATAGATGTTGATTGAAGCTTTGTTTCTCTTTTTTTTGGGCCAGTTCAGCCTGCCCTGAGGGTGCAGCTGATGCCACATGTGATGCCAGTAATCAAACCGTTGTCCTCTGTGTCTGCTTAAGCTTGCCTAAGCAGGTGCTTTAGACTGCTGAGCTATCTCGTTGGCTCAAAGCTGTCATCTTTTAACTCACTAAATATGAGACATTGACAGTTTGTTAGGTATTGGGTTAGTCCCTAGTAATGGAGAAAGTAGTAATAAAGACTTTTGCTTTCATGGAGCTTACATTCTACTAGAGTTGGAAAAACAAAAATAGCAACAAGTAAAACAAAGAAATAGTAATTTAGAAAGAGATAAGTGTGATGAAGAAAATAAAGTGATTTGAAAGAAATAGATTATTAGGATTGTTCTGGAAGATTTCTTGAGGAAGTGGCATTTGAATTGAGAATGATAGGATGAGGAAGAACCAGTCAGCAAAAGCTGTTATTTACAAAGGGTATAAGTCTAGGAGTTGAGGGAACAGAGATCAGAAAATGCACAGGCTGATACCAGAAGAGAATATGATTTATTCATGGAGCAAAAAAGAGCCAGCCACATATTTGGAAGGTGTGATGGAGTGGAAAAGTAATAGGTAGTAAGTATGTAGAATCAGGCAAGGCCTAGATCATAGAGGGTCAGGGCTAGTGATTTGATTTTTATTTTATATGAAATGAAAAGCTGGTAGAGTAGAAGATGATTTTGATGAAATTTAAGTTAGGAAGCACATATATACTTTCATGTGGAGATTGGGTAAGGGGGAACAAGAGTAGAAATGGAATCTGTTATACAAGTTCAATCTAGGCCAGGGAGATAGCTCAGCAGTATAAACACCTGCCTTCCAAGTGTAAGGACCCAGGTTTGATTCCTGATACCACTTGCCATGCTGACCCCAGAACCCTGGGCTTGCCATGCCAGCCACTGAAACTGGGCATAGTGGCGCACACTTATAATCTCAGTGCTGGGGAGGCTGAAACAGGAGGATCACTATGAGTCCAAGCTGCACAGTGAGACTCTGTACCACATAAATAAATGAATTTAAAAAAAAAAGTTCAATCTAAAGGTAAGGATCAATTGGATTACCTAGTAACACTGGAAGTGAACAGATGACTTGGAAAATTTTGAAGGAAAAATTGGTTGATACTAAAAAAGGAGAAAGAAAGGAAGAAATCAAAGGATATTTGGTTTGAGATTTGGTGGAGATAGCTTTTTCTTTGGGACTACTATAGCAAAATCATGTTTTTAGTCTATAGTGTGGGGTATATTTTCAAATTGGAATTTCTGAAATTTATAAAATTTCAACTGTATATTTTTTTAACAGACATTTGTATTTTCAGGCTCCGAAGTTGAAATTGAGTTTATGAGTAATATTGCATATTCCCCTCCCCTTGCTTTTCTGAGCACTCAGGGTTAAATTAGGGTCTCATACATGCTTGGCAAGTGCTGTACCACTAAACTACACCAATACCCTTTCTGGTAGTTTATTTTTCTTCTACTTAGAAGTCTTTTAGAAAGCTTTTTATCTGTTTATGCCAGGTGTAGAATTATATTTCATAGTTCTGATCCTTTCATTTCTATCCTATTTTTCATAACAAAGAAATAAATAAAAAAGGAATAAGAAGAGCCAGCGAGATAGCTCAGCGGACTAAAGTGCCTACTTAGGCAAGCTCAGGGACTGCAGTTTGATCCCTGGCACCACATGCCATGCCAGCCCCACCCCCAGGGCATGCTGAGCGACCAGAGTCTGGGTGTGGTGGCACATGCCTGTAATCCTAGCGCTGGGGAGGTTAAAAGCAGGAGGATCACCATGGGTTCAAGCTGCATAGTGAGGCACTGCAACAACCAAATACATTAAAAGTAAAATAAAGTAAAATAAAAATAAAAGGAGTAAGTATGAGATGTCTAGATGATTAAAATCTCTTTAAATATTTAAATTCCCCATGATATCTATTTATGTATAGAAATTGATATTCTGGTTATAAAGAATTTATATCTAAGCTACTCATGGTGATATACACCTATAATTTCAGCACTTTGCTGAGTTTACACACCTATAATATTTACACTTTCAATATTTACACTTTCAATAAGGCAGGAGTATCACAGATTGAAGCCCAGCATGGGCAATTTAGTGTGAGACAGTGCCTTAAAATAAAAAAATAAAAAATAATAGCTGGGGATATAATTCAGTAAGAAGACCCTGTGTTTTCAATCACCAGTGTCTGTCTGTCTGTCTGTCTCTCTCTCTCTCTCACACATGCATGTGCGCGCGCACACACACACACACAAATTTACAAAAGTATATTTGATAGGCAGCTGTTCTGTAACTTAGCTATACTGTAGCCCTAATTGTTTTTTTTTTTCTGTTTTTTTTTTCTTTTTTCTTTTCCATAATTTTATTGAGAAACAAATAGCAATGAGACAGTTTCAAACCAAATTGGTAGGACAGTTTCAACAATCAACACATTGCATACATTCTTCCCAGTGGTTAATTGCTGTACAAGATGCGGACTTGACATCCCATTCACAAACACCACTAGAACAAATCCCTCTATTCATTAAGAAAATGTAACTATATATCTATCCTAACCACCCTGAATACACAGATACAAAATGAACATTCATCTGTATACCCTTTTTTTGTTAAGTTCCATCATTTAAATATTTTTTTCCATCATTTAAATATTATAGGTGTGTAAACTCAGCAAAATAT